TCACCTAGACCCGGTTACAGAGAGAGGACCTGTAAGAATTTTAAAAGACTTTACAATACACACAGACAGTACAATCAAAGCTAATAGCACAGACATCAAAGACCAGAAGAACAGAATGTGCTTTCCTATTGACATGACAGTCTCTTTAGATTGTAATGTATGTTTGAAGATCTTCAAAAAAAAACTATCAAAATACAAGGACCAGGAAGTGGAAATTGAAAAAAATGTGGCACATGAGGACATCAGTAATTTCAATTGGAGTAAGAATCATCAGATTGATTAGGAAAGGTTCTGAAGGGATTCCTGGCAATTCATACCTTACAGAAATACAAGAAATTCTACAGTTCACACATTATGAAGAAATTTATCTATGAAAAATGTGTGAGATCTTAGATTTTTTTTTTTTTGCAAAAAATGATCAGTTGAAAATGTCATGAAGTCATTTTTGGCCTTAGGTCTCTGATTGGGACCCGGAAGGAAATGTGTATGCAACAGAAATCAAATAATCATACTTATTGTAAAACCCAGGTTGTGTGTGTGTGTGTGTGTGTGTGTGTGTGTGTGTCTGTACGTTTATATATTGGATCGGATTCCCTACATTTTTCAACCGATTTCAACAAAACTTCACAGGACTACGTAAAATTACCTTGTGGTGGTTTTGACAGCGCCAAAAATCGGAAAAACTCAATTGTTTGTGCACAAAATCAATTTGAAAACACGATTAAGAGACATCGCTGTTTCGAGAATGAAAGGAGGACAACTCATATCGAGTTACACTTATTATAAAACCCAGGTTGTTTGTATGTGTGTGTGTGTGTGTTCGTTTATATATGGGATCGGATTTCCTACATTTTTCAACCGATTTCAACAAAACTTCACTGTTTTTTTTTTTAGCAGGTAGTGTTTCTTATTGTCTTGTACACTTTTTTCTTTATTTTTACATTCAGAATGCTTTAAAAATTCCATTTACAAGACAATTGTTTATAATAAAATTGTATTCAATCGGTAGACTCATAACGATTGAAAACAATGTTTTTGTTTGAGTTTGGGTTTGACCAATTCGTAAAAAAAACAAAAACAAAAAAAACAACAAAACAAAACAAAAAACTAATTAAGACATGCGTGTCCATCAACCTTAATCAATAATATTTGTCAATTTTATTTTTCAGTCTTTATGATGGTCGATAATTGATCTATCTCTTACTGTTACATCCCCGGGCAACGCCGGGTTCTACTGCTAGTAATAATTAAAAAGCAAATATCACTTCCTATCAGTAAATACGTCACTGAAATTGTTCTCATAGTTGAACTCCAATTATAGAAATTAATGTTTTGACAGCTGTTTTACATTTTATTTTTATTTGAAGCGAGTGAGTATTCGTTTTTCTCTTGTTTCATGTATAATAGTATAGCGGCGAACTTTGTTTTAATCATCCGATCCCCAATCAAGGCAATAAAGCCACGAAGACGCAAAAGATTAGTGAATGTTAGAAAATATGCAAAAGAAGATAAAAATAAAACGAGAGAAAACTGTAAAAGAACAACAATTAAGTTTCGCTAATGTAGATTTAGTTTTTCTGATGACGTCGATTTTAATTTCATTTCACCCCAAGTAAAGCAATAAAGCCGCTAAGACACAAGAAGTTACTAACTGTGAAAGAAAAGAAAACATTACTATAATAAAAGAAGAGGAATCAAGATAACAGTAGATAACGATTGACATTGCATTTAACTTTTTGAAGATCAAAGTTGGCTAGAAAGCATGGAACCGGAAGGGAGTTTCACTAGCGGAAGTGCCAGAGAAGAAGCACTTAGCATAGAACTTGCCATATATATATATATATATATATATATATATATATGTGTGTGTGTGTGTGTGTGTGTATGTGTGTGTGTATGTGTGTGTGTGTGTGTAAAAATATATAGAAAATAGGAAAGAACTCCTTAGGTAAACATGAGAACTCTTATGTAGCGCTGGAATCATATTTTTAAATAAATAATTATATATATATATATATATATATATATATCTTTTCAATCCAAACAAGGTAATAAAGCTACTAGAATGGAAGGGGTTAATGAGTGTGAGAGAATATAAGAAAAACTACTATTACGGAGAGAGGACAATAAAACAACACGTATTAAAAAGACAGAAGATAATGATTGACATTGCATTTAAATTTAGGAAGATCAATGTTGACTGGGAGGCAAGAACCTGGAAGAGAGATAGACAAGCGAGAATCTTTCAACTTGTAAAGATCAATATACCAAACTCTGTGTCTTCGAGATATCCAAAACAACTGGAGCTTCACCATTCTAATCTAAAGATTGACAGACTTTTTCAGTTACAGAAAATATCTGTTATTGAAGTCTTTAAAAGATATTCTTCCCAAGAATTGCAGCAAATAAATGTGTGGACATCATAACGTCTATTAAGACGGAAAGGGAAAACGGTGATTCAAGTTCAAATTCCAGTCGGTTTTGTTTCGTTCACGACGCGCTAATGACTTCGGAAAATTCCCCGATCACTACAATCTTAACCTGTTCAAGTCGAGGTCCAACCGTTATCTTTCCCACATGTCCCCATCAACTGTACCCCTTACTCTGTATCCCTCTACCCGAGTGATTTTTTTTGGCAACAGGGTGAATATCCGTGTCCAACTTTATTTTTTTAACGGCTTATCAACTCCTTATGGGTCATTTAATGTCACTCAAAGTAACGCATATTATTTCTGTTTTAAATACTGGGATCACTTGCTATTGTAGTGTTTGTAGTAATTATCCTATAACTATTGTTTTGAATATTACTATCACATCTGGTCTGGTGCTCCAGTTATATATTTAGAAATCATAGATAAACTACAAAAAAGAATTTGAAATGTTATTGGTCCTGACCTGGCATCTCGGTTTTAGTGCCTTTCACCGTAACGTAGCTTCCCTGTGCTTTTCTATAAATACTTTCATGGTAATTGTTCTAATGAGATTTCTTCTATGAATTTAAGCGCAGTACTAAATTGGCAGCAAGGTCTCATACAGTTGAAGTGGTTAAATGTAACCGTAAGTTCTATGCTAACAGTTTCTTCTCTCACACTTGTTGCTTGTGGAACTCTCTTTCATCTTCTTGCTTCCTAGTCAACTTTGATCTTGAAAAATTTAAATGCAATGTAAATCGTTACCTTCCGTCTTCTTAATTCTTGTTCTTTTACTCTTCTCTCACCTTAATGGTATTTTTCTCATACTCTCTAACACTCAGTAACCCCCTTACATCTTCGTGGCTTTATTGCCTTGCTTGAGAGTGAAATGATTAAGACGTTTAGCACAAATTGATTCTTATAGTTCTTTGAAAAGCTAATGAGTAAGTCTGATTTTTCCAACTGTTGATATTCGCCTATTTCCCAATATTCCACGAACGTCGCTATTATAATTGTGCTTGTTTAAATGTACATTTTAAAGAAAGTATAAATTGTTTTTGTTATTTTCCAAGTTGGACCACTAGAAGTTTCACGCGCGATGTTTGCTATTTCATGGAATAAAAAGAATTCTTTAATGAATTCTGAAAAAAAAACAAAACAAATGAAATAAAAAGAATTAATGTTTTAAAATTATTGAAATAGAAGTAAAATTTGTATAAAGGCTAAAACACTCATAAAAAGTTGAATTTCACTTCGACTAATGAATCAATTAGCTTTAATTAACTTTCGAAGAGTGTTTTGTGGAGTCATTCGTTAAGAGACAAAGCAGAATTGATATGTAACATACATTCTCAAATATGACAGCCAACGCTGCACAGTTTGTTTACAGATGAAGAAGGAGTTTGGGGCTACAGAAAGATGGTTCTACAGAAGGATGATGAGAATACCATGGACTGAAAATATGAGCAACAAGGAAAATATAAACAAAAAATGGGAAAGTGATAAATTTCTATCACACATAATGAGGAAAGCGGGCTTTGGCATTCACAGGACACAATAGAGGTAAGGGGTGTATTTAAAGATTCTAGATAAAATAAAAAGAATAATCTGCAATGTTATTGATCTTGACTAAGCATCTCGGCTCCAGTCCTTTCCCACCGCCGTAACGTAGCTTCCCTGTGTCTTTTCAATAAACACTTTAATAGTAATTGTTCTGTTGTATTCACTGTAGATATTCATTGTGGTTTCATTATTAAATGTTGTTATTTTTATTCCTCACAGACAAATTGTACACATGGGAACGAGTTAGGACATCATAGAGACTCTGAGGTATTATGGTGACTGTAGTAAAAGATAACTAAGAATGTGTTATTTTGGTGTAAGGAATATTGTGATATGTTTGGGCCAGTAATCGTGGCTAGTTAATTTTAAGATAAGATTGAAGACCAGCCTTCCACTATGCTCCCATTTTGGCCTTGTGCCACATTTTTGTATTATTTAAAATAAATATTAGTTTCTGCAATGGTACCTAGAATTTATAAATTTAAGCACAGTACTAGATTGGTGACATCATCATTTTACAGTTGCAATGGCTAGATGCAACCGTAAGTTCTATCCAAACAGTTTCTTCTATCGCGCATCCTGCTTGTGAAACTATATTTAAGGTTCTTGCTTTCCAGTCAATTTTGATCATTAAAAATTTAAATGCAATGTCAATTGTCATCTTCTGTCTTTTTATTTCCTGTTCTTTATTAGTCTCTTTCCAAAATAAATTTTTTTTTTCCCTCTTATTCTCCTACACTCAATAACCCTTGCGTCTTAGTGGTTTTCTTGGATTGCTTGGGGCGAAAGAATTTTAAAAAAAGAAAGAAAGAGGTCCTGGGGGAAGCAACAAATAAACTATCTAACGTATTTGTTTGAATGGCTGGCAGAAAAAAAATAAGAGGATAAACACTGATTCGAGCCACAAAAAATAGGAAGTTGTAGAGAGCCATGATGACCCACACCCTGAAGAAGAGTGTTTTTTGTATATTTAGTTATTCACGAATACGTGTGTAGGGAGAGAAACACAAGTTGATTCGTGGAATA